AAAGCTGCCATGCCACAGTGGGTGTCCCAGTGTTGGATTGAATTCCTGCACTCATTTTCCCTTTCACCATGCTGTAGATCCAGCTGATKAAATCAGTTACTGCGTTCTAAAGGGTGCTCAGAGGTGGTGCAATCACGGAGAATTTGGGGTGCRTAGGACCTCAAAGCCCATCCAGTCCCACTCCCTGCCAGGCAGGGACACCTTCCACTGTCTCAGGCTGCTCCCAGCCCTGTCCAGCCTGGCCTGGAACATTCCCAGGGAGTTTGAACTGAAGTCATGAAACTGGAATGGGGCTTGTAGGAAAGGTCTGCCCCTTGCTGTGGGTATGGAAGGCAGCTGTGAGGGACACTGCCATCCCACAGGAATGGGGTGGCTGTGCTCCTTGCATCTGTTTTCGAGCCACTGCTTTTCCTCCTTTCCATTGCTGCTGTTCTGGTCACATGTGGAAAGTAAAATATTATTTCTACCCCTTAGCTATCCAAGAAGATTCAGGCTGTGATGCCCTTACAAGGTGCTGGGTCTGACGGATGAAGCCCTGGGTGAGGCTGGGGATCCTCATCCCTTGGGGTGAAGATGCAGGGCAGGGTCCTGCTCATCTTGGTGCTTGTGCATGCTGCCAGCTTGTTTCTCAGGGATTTCCTCCCAAAATAAACACCTTTGGATGTGGAAGTGAGASAAGCCTCCAGAGGCACCTTCCTTCGGAGCCCTGCTGTCCTTTCACTGGGCTCCGCCCCTGCTCCCTCATCTCTTTCAACTTCAACTCCCTCGGTTTAATCAGCTCTATCAGTGCTCTCAGCTTCATCAACTCAATCAGCTCTGAGCTCCATCTCTGAGCTCTCTTATCTTCACCAGATCCCTCATCTCCCTCAGCACCTCATCTCCACCAGATCCTTCATCTGCCTCAGCTCCCTCATCTTTCATCTCTCCCAGATCCCCCAACTCTCATCTCATTTCTCTCAGCTCCATCTCCCTGATCTCCCTCAACTCTGTGAACTTCCTTAGCTGCCTCATCTCTCTCAGCTTCCTCAGCTTGATGAGCCCAGTGAGCTGCCTGGTCCCTGAGCTGGGTGTCGGGGCTGTTGGAGCCCTGGAGGATGTTCGTGGTGCCCGTGTGCCCGGTCAGTGCTGTTATTGCAGCAGTGCCACCCTCGAAGGCAGGGCTGACGGGCACAGCGGTGTCAGCAGGGCACTGTCACCTCTGCGGGTTTCCCAGTGCAGCTCCAGGGCTTGCTGGAGCCGGGGAGGAGCTGCTGGAGCTGATGATAAATTAATGTGTAACTAACAAAGCCTCACCCAATAAAAACATCTGCAGTGTCCAAGGCCAGGCTGGACACTGGGGCTGGGAGCAGCCTGGGACAGTGGGAGGTGTCCCTGCCATGGCAGGGGTGGCACTGGGTGGGCTTTAAGGGCCTTTCCAACCCAAACCAGGGTGGGGTTCTGGGATTGTCTCTGCCTTCATTGCTGCAAGTACAACACAACAAAGTGGCAGAGGCACAAGCTTGGTTTCCTAAGGTTCCCTCATTTCTGACTCTGGAGCTGTGACAGCTCCAAAAATAATCCACAGGAGGAGGTTAAGGAGCAAAGTTCACCTGGTTCACTTGGGCTGCAGCACCTGCTCCACCTCCTCYTGAAAAACCTTTCTCAAGCTGCTTCCAATAGTTTTCTTCCTGCATTGCTCCATATGTGCTTTTTTTAGTGTAATTTCTATCGCTGGATCCAAATAGAATCCCAGAATCCCAGCCTGGTTTGGGATTAAATGGACCTTAAAGCCCATCCAGTGCCACCCCTGCCATGGCAGGGACACCTCCCACTATCCCAGGTTGCTCCCAGCCCCAGTGTCCAGCCTGGCCTTGGACACTGCCAGGGATCCAGGGGAATCCAGCACRTCCCTGGGTGCTGTAGCAGGCACTGGGGCTTTTGGAGCTCACCTCGGGATTTCAGGACTTTGAGCCTGTGTGGAGGATGAACATTCCCTGTTGGGGGTTTGGAGAGAGCAGGATCAGCTGGCTGACAGCAATCCTAGTGATGGCAGCTGTCATCTGCCAGTGCTTTGGGTGTTGGCCCTGCCAGGATGCCAGGCTCAGGCCCTGTGGGTGCCATGGCAGGAGGTGGAGCCTCTGCTGCTCCTCTATCTGATGGCCTCGTTGCATGTTTTAATGTCAGGTGCTGGGAGCACAGGGTGAGATCAGCCCCAGGAAAGAGCTGGTGTCACTGGGAGAGCTCCAGGCAGCTCTTCCCACAGCATGTGGGGTCTGTGGAGCAGCAGAATCACAGGAGTTCTCTGAGTCTGTACAGAACACCTGGGCAAAAATAGTCCCACGAGGAGGAGGCTGAGGTGCTGCAGGATTGCCTGGAATGTCACACTGCCAGGGATGGGATATTGGGCAGGAATTGTTCCCTGGGAGGGTGAGCAGGCCCTGGCACAGGGTGCCCAGA